AAGGGAGAGCTTGGCATTGGTTTGAATCTTATCTTACAGGCAGGCAGCAGTATGTCACAATTGATCACATAAATAGCCATAACCAATTAATTACTTACACTTCCTCAACGAAAATTGTTAAGTATGGTGTCCCTCAAGGATCAATATTGGGGCCCTTATTATTCTTAATTTACTTAACTGACTTCCCCTCATTGATAGAATCTCCCAATCGTGTTTGTTTATTTGCTGATGACATCAATATAAAAATATCCGGAAATTCAAATGCTGATGTGGAAGTCTCTTCTTTTGTTAAGCTTACCAAATGTAACCAATATTTAAATGAAATCAATTTATTACCGAATACAATAAAAACTAATTATATAAATTTTTCTTCAACAAGCAAAAATTCACCTGAGTTTAATATTTTTATGGATACAATTTTACTAAATGAAGTTAAAACAATAAAATTTCTTGGATTGCATATAGATGATAAATTTAACTGGGACAGTCATGTTGAAAACGTTTGTAATAAAGTCAACTCAGGCATACATGCATTAAGACAGATGTCAAAATTTAGTAGTTTAAAAACCTTAAAAATAGTGGCCTATATCATTCCCTAATTGAATCACATATTTCTTTTGGGTTGTGTCTTTATGGGGGCACATCAAATTTTAACCTAAATAGCATTCTGGAACTTCAAAAAAAAACAATTCGCATTATGTTAAAACTAAAGTCAAAAACATCCGCAAAAGAGCAGTTTAAAGAAATAGGAATTATGACTGTTTTTAGCTTATACATTTATCAAATAGCCCTTTATATTAAATCAAACCATGAAAGATTGCCAAAATTGAACTCTTTTCATACATATTCAACCAGAAAAGGTAACAAATTGGCGTTCAACAGACATAATTTATCGGTTTATGAAAAAATTCCATCTTATAGTGGTGTTAAATATTTCAATAGCTTACCTGACAATATAAAAAATATAAGTAATTTTAATTCATTTAAAAAACGTTTGAAATTATTTCTCACCAACAGACCCTTGTATAAGTTAGAAGATTTTTTCCAACTTCCTGAAATTTGATTTTTTTATAATAACAATTTTCTTTGTAAGTAGTATTAAGTTTAATATTGTGTTTTTATAACTGACTCCATTCTGTACAAAATGTGCAATATGAATAAAGTTATTTTGATTGATTGATTGATTGAAGAAGGTTAAGGGTACCGGTACTTTCCTGTTAAGGGGAACATTCATTATTATCAATGATTTCTTTTTGATATATCAATATTTTTTTCCCTTTACGTTCCATAATATCTTCAAACACATTTAAATTACAGACAGACATAGCAAATTGGTATGTCTAAGTTATAATGTACTTGGTTTAATAACTAAGTTAGGCCAAGGCCACACTAAAAAAACAGGCCGTAATGCTCACCAAGCATGACGTCACGATAGAAGACGGCAATGACGTACTGTTTGCCGTTTGTGACAATTTGTGAACAGCTGCTTGTTTTAATCTTTCCTTGGAAAATTAATAAGATAAATACCTACGTCATTGCCGTCTTTTATCGTGTCGTCATGCTTGACGAGCATTACAGCCTGTTTTTTTAGTGTGGCCTTGGTTAGGCCTATAGCTTGTATTAGAGAATAGGATTAAGAACTAATCTTGTTTAGGCAAAATTAATGCCTCCTATAGGATAGACCTATTGGATTAAGAAATTAAACTAGGCTATTCTAAACTAACCAAACTTGCTGTAGGCTAAGTTACCGTTTCAAAATTCCATTTGATAACAGAAAAGGCATATGGGCTATCAAACGGAATATTGAAATGTTACTGGTACCGGTACAGCAAGCAAGTTTGGTTAGTTAGGTCAGTTTAAAACATTTTCATTTCAATATAGGCTAATATTTTTCTATTGTTTGTTGATACTGAACAATATTTATTTATCGTACCGGTAGTTGTCAGCTGAAAAGTTTCAGTTTGTTAATATCAATAGCCTATATCGAATAAAAAAATTAAATATCGATAGCCCATATCGAAAAGAAATCATCGATAATAAATTAATGTTCCCTTTAACAGGAAAGTATCAAAGTTAAGTTACGTTGACGCTGGTCTCTTAAGGACCGATCTCGATATGACACGCTTCAAGAACACAAAAACATCTAGCGAGGCGGCAGAACGTCTCAGTGGGTGCATACTCATATCTTTAGAGGAGGTGTTTATAAATATCAAAGGGTACAAAAGTGCATCGATGTCAATTAAGTTAGCCTACTCGACTGATTTCTGTTGAATAGTCTACAGTAAATTTATAACCACGCCAAATAAAGTTAACCCTCTAGGTGTCAATCGACGTAATTACAACGACTATTTTATCGCCACAAGTGTCAATTGCCGTAATTACGGCGACTTGACAGGCCTACGGTTTCAGTTGATATAATCCCACAAGATCAAACAAACCCGGTAATTGGGCATACTAACGTGTTCATGAGATTCTGGGCTTCATGGTGAGTATAAAAGACGGCCGTTTCCCGAACTATTTATCTTGTTCTGTGATACTTTTTCCTAATGTCATTGTTTGTTTCGGTTGCTAGCGAACGAATGTTTACGTTCTACTGTTCTTGTGTGTCATGATTTTTAGAGTTATTATAAAGAAAAACAGGATGAAATTATATATTTCCTTTACCTTATTACATTTAGAATAAAATGTAGCCTATATCTCAGTTTTTGTAGCCTAAATATAGTGATTTTTTTTTACATGACATTTTTTTGGAACATCTGGATTTGAACCAACAACAAATTGCTTTTATACAAGGTAAGACACACATATCATACATTTTTAGATAGACAATTGTATTTGCTTTAAGAAAATATACAATGTTATCTTATGTCATCTTCTAGATTTTTAGCGAATTTCCCTATAGGGAAGTATTTAGCGAATTTCCCTATAGGGAAGTAGCTATTAGCGTAGGTGGCACGGTAAGACCTAGACCCGGGACCGATTTACTTTTTCATTTTGATGTCCCCAGAGGCCAAAAACACCATTCGTTCAAATTTTTATATATGTATATATATATATATATATATAGACTTATATATATATATATATACACCTTTAAACCAAATTTTATCAAAATCGGACAAAAATTACTCAAGTTATCGCGTTCACGGACGTATATATATATATATATAAAAACCCATAAAACCCCCGTAAAGCCCCGTTCCCATGATCCGATCGTGCTGGTTCGCGAACTCATTCAAGTTTATCCCGCTTTACCTTTAAACCAAATTTTATCAAAATCGGACAAAAATTACTCAAGTTCATATATATACACGTCCGTGAACGCGATAACTTGAGTAATTTTTGTCCGATTTTGATAAAATTTGGTTTAAAGGTGTAAAGCGGGATAAACGCGATAACTTGAGTAATTTTTGTCCGATTTTGATAAAATTTGGTTTAAAGGTGTAAAGCGGACGATCGGATCATGGGAACGGGGCTTTACGGGGGGTTTTATGGGGTAAAAATTGGTTTTTCTCACTTTTGACCCTCAAAACACAAAATTTCCCGATTTCTCTTTAGACCTTTTTAAAGAGCTTAAAAAAACAAATAATTTAGTATATAAAAGTATTTTTGTTCAATTATTAGTAACGGAGAAAATTAAAAAAATTGTAAATTTAAAATTCCCATGTTATTCTTATGGAGAATATTGTTAAATGTTGTAGTTTGCTTGTTTATGGATATATTTTGATCAAACTTGGCAAATTTATTTATTTTGTACTAAGCTATCAATATTTTACTCAAAAACACACTTTATTAGTTTCCTTGTAGCAGCAAACCTAGGTACTCGTTAAACCTAATGTTATTAAAATATATTTAACTGAAAATCAATTCAGACAAATGGAAATTCGCTTAGTCGGCAGGTTTGCTGCGGCGGGGGTATTTATTAATTTTATAATCAAACTCCGCAAAAGTCTTGAAAATTGAGTGACATTAACAGGTGTTCAATGCGACACCTAGAGGGTTAAAGGATAATTTGTTTAGAAGTTTATCAAAGAAGAGAACCAGAGAGGCCAAATTCATAAGGCCTAGAACTAAGTTAGGCCAAAGTTCTACCATATAAATGGGATGTCTAGGCGTACTTCAGTTAAGTTATTTGCAGAGGATACGTGTCCTAGGCGTCCGGTAGTTACTGTCATAACCTTACCTAACCTACAAAACTTGGTGATAATGAAAAAATCAAATGAAGGTTATATCCTGTTAACCTTCATAAAATAAAATTAAAAATACCAAAAATTCTAACAAGATATGTACAGTTAAGAAGAAATGGCATTCAAAGCGAAATCTTTGACAAAAAGTTAAGGTTACCGATGGGATTTGAACGAGGTAAGTTACCTCTTGCATATCAGCCGAGCACTCTATCCACTACCACGAACACTGATGGCTAATCATCAAATCTTTGAGGTAATGGCGTTACGGGCCCCCACAACCCGGTGACGGCACCGCCGGACGCCTAATCCATGTCCGGTTACCGGACGTGTATCCTCTTTGTAAGTTATTGTTATCTAAAGCCAAATTTTCAAAAACCATAAAATCATGCCTCACATCAAACCTATTCTATAGCATGGAAGAATTTTATGAATAAGACCTCTCTAGCATGATTTTTTGTAGGCCTACCGGTATCTGACTTGTAATGTAGGCCTATTGCTTGGTAATGTTTTGCAGATGTTCTTTGCTTTGTACTTTTTTGCTTTATATGCTAGCATGTTTGCTTTTTTATGATTTTAATTTAGTACGGTACCTACAATGTGTGCATGTTTTATTTAATGCTCATGACTTTTTGACTTAGCCTATTGTAGGCCTACAATGAATGGCCAAATAAATGATTTGATTCGATTTGATTCATACCATAGGTCTATGTCTATGCTAGAATAGCCTAGGCCAACTAAATAAGTTAACAATAAACTAATTAATTTTAACAATCCCGTACTATTTGACCAGGCTAAACTAATATAAACACTTACCATTCTGCCAATCACGAGTACACCAAACATGTTAGTTGTTGCCGCCATGATTCTTTATTTTAATTTTGCAGGTTTAAAACTAAAAGTATAAATGAAACTGAAATCGTCTGCCTCCTAAGCCTTAGATTTGTGTAATTGTATACAATATTATATTAGAATCATTGATTATACATATCAATCATATACTCCTAACGACTCAGAATCAGTAAACAAAAACAACACTGCTGTTGTAAGTAGTCAAGTAGCACTGCAGTAGTGCAAGAGTGCAAGTGCAGAACAGAAAACAAACAGGGCAAAGTTAGGGTGGGGCACACGGGAGGGACTAAGGCTAACATATCTTGTAGTGAACGTTCGCCGCAAGAACTGCTAAGTTGAAAAAATTTAAATTATTTTTTTTTTTTAATTTTTAGTTATAACATTAACTTTTTAATTATAAAATATTGTTTTAAAATTATAAAATTAATTTTTAATTTTTAAAATTAAACTGTCATAACATAACCTAACCAACCAGACTTGCTGATAATATAAAAACTATACAGTATAAGATAAAAATTGAATTAATGATTACTTATAATTTTTAATTAATTATAAAATTGATTTTAAAATTTAGTATTATAAAATTAAACTGTCATAACCTAACCTAACCAACCAAACTTGCTGATATGAAAAATTTGTTGACAAAAAGTTAGTGCTACCAGCGGGATTCGAACCCGGGACCTTCTGTACATCAATCCGAAACGCTACCAACTATGCCACGAACGCCGCTGAAAATCACATTGTTTCGTTACGGTAATCGTGTTGCCTCAAGAGAAGACATTAGCCACTAGAGATATGACGTCACTACAGCTTTAGCCTTAGTCCCTCCCGTGTGCCCATTCCGGCAAAGTTATGTTCTACCACGAACCACAAAGCTCTTCCGACAGTAACACCACCCACCACCGGGCCATCCCCCGCCACCACGCCACCATGACATACGCTTCTGCTGTTAGTTAGTTGTCGTCTGTCAAAGAAACGTTTGTGTTCGCGGCATATTGGCATGTTGTTATGGATTTTTTCCCCCTAGGACGCTAGGCACGAGCCTGGGATTGTTTTTCACATTACTTCATGATAGACCTAGGGGTTGCGGCATTATCACTTAGATAAAATCCATTGGTGACTTGGCGGGGATCGAACCCGGGACCTCAGGGACTGAAGTCCCGCGCTGTAACCACTACGCCAGCTCGCTCCCCATATGTGGTGAGTGTGATGGGGTTTGAGTTTAGCGACAAGGAGCCAATGATTGATTCTGTTGAATGCCTTGGAATAGTCGAGGTAAATACAGTCGACTTGTAATGAAGTGGTAAAAGAAGACAAACAAATTCTTGGAGTAGCAAAAGGTTTGTGACAGTAGAACGTCCCCTAGTAAAGCCATGTTGTTCATCACAAATACGATTTTAAGTTGAAAAATGAGGTTATCCATTACCATACTTTCGAAAAGCTTTGCCAAGGAGGGTTGAATGACGATAGGACGATAGCTTAAAACATTTTATTTTGTACCTGACTTGAAGATCGGGACTGTGAAGCTTTTTTAAGGGAGGATGGAAACACTCCTGCTTGTAATAGCATCCTAAATAATATTGCAAGATGGGGGCAAGAACTGGCGCGCAAAATCTTAGTACGAGTGGGGGTATTGTCAGGACCAGCTCCCTTTGAAGGATCAAATGAAGTAAGCTTGTCGTGAAAATGCTTGTAGCACCGACCACGCAACTTGAGATTGTCTGATTAGGCAAAAAAAATCAACAGGTACAGTCACGTCTACACTCTTGTAGACTGAAGAAAATAAATTGGAGAACAGCTCACATTTTCCACTTGGAGTTGAAGAGTCCCTCTGATCAAAGTCTTGTTAAGGACTTATTGAAACCTGAATTTTGGCCCGAGGGAATTTTTGTAAAAGAGTTTGGAGAACGACGTTCAGGCAGCCAAAATAACGTTAAAAGTTACATTCCTTCTCGTGCTTTTTTAGGGGATCGTCCGAAAAAATGGGACTAAACATGATGCGGGAAAATCACTCCTCTGTAAATTTTTGTGCATCTAGACCTGTTAGCCAAAACGGCCATAGAGGCCCAAATAGTGCAGGTGTAGGCATAGGACCTTTTAACTTTTGTATATTGTTGCTTAATGTACAGTGCCTTTCCACTGCTCGAATTCTAGACCTTGGGTGATCTTTTTAACATAGACTGGTATGTTCTACTTCAAGGTGGTAATGCTAACCAAAAATTGAACCAGTTTTTAAATACTTTTCTAATGTTGGTTAACGAGTGGTTTCCCAAAAAAACCCCTCCGGCCCCGTAAGAATCTAAAAAACTCCATCCAGCCCTATACAGACAATCCCACTTTACTAACCTTAAGAAAGTGGAAACTTTTAACCTATGATATGTACAAGGTATCCAAAACTCCTGAAGCTAAAGCAAGATATCTGCGAGTCAAAAATGAATACCAAGAAAGCCTTAAGCTTGCCAGATTTGAGAGTAATGTTAAATTCATTGAATCTGCACAAAATCCTTGTTTTGCAGCTTTGTACTGTTATAAAGAGAGAAGTGGTCCCAACAAAGCCTTTACAGTCGACCAGCCTAACACCCAGTGAGTTCAACGATTTTTTTGTGAACACGGTCCAACAGACCCGTGACGCTATTGGAATCCCCCCTACCTCTGGCCTAGAACTACTGGGAAAACATCCTCCACCTACTAGTACCTATCACATGTCCCCAGTTTCATGTGATAAAGTCATATCTGTAGTGCAAGGGTTAAAGAATTCTTCTATCAGAGACATGATAGCTCTACTAGTTTTGTGAAACAGATAATTTTCTCTATAGTTAGCCCATTAACTTACTGTATCAATTGTTGTATTTTAGAAGGTATTTTCCATGATGTTTTAAAAATTGCTAGGGTTGTGCCTATTCACAAATCAAATCAAATCAAATCATTTTATTGGGCCAAATTAACAATTATACAGTTTGCATTAGCCAGGTCAATACAAATATACTATACTATACATCATAATTACTAATATTTTCTAATCACAAGAAAGGCAATCCCAACCTGCCAGAGAATTTTAGACCAATTTATATTCTGCCATCTTTCTCTAAGATCCTTGAATTTATTATTAAAGAACAGCTCTCTTTGTATTTTGAAGCAAACAATTTTTTCTCAGCTGCCCAGTTTGGTTTCAGGCCTCACCGCAGCACTACTGATGCTGTTGACAAGTTAATAAAAGCAGCTTTTCAGTCTTTTGAGGATGGGGGCTTTGCTGGGGCCACTCTTTGTGACCTCAGCAAGGCCTTTGGCATGGTTGATCATGACACCCACCTGGGAAAGTTAAATTTCTATGGGGTTAAGGGGAAACTTTTTGAACTGTTTAAATCATACCTGACTGGGCGTGGGCAGCTGGTTTGTATAAATGGTAGACAATCCAGTGTACAGCAATTGACCCATGGTGTACCTCAGGGCTCAATTCTTAGTCCCTTACTTGTCAATGTCATGCTAAATGATCTCGCATTGTGTTTGGGGCAAGGTGTCATCTGTTACGCAGATGATACTACACTCTTTGAAACTAGCAATGAACTGGGAGATCTTGAGGAAGCCATGAAACGATCTCTTGAGGGTGCATCGGCCTGGTTCCGAGCAAATCACTTTTTTCTAAATGAGACTAAGACTAAGTCAATAATCTTTAGCCTAAGAAACTTAGAACATAGTGTGAAATCTGTCAAACTTCTAGGCTTACATCTTGACAATAAAGTAAACTGGAATGACCAGATTAGCCATGTTTGTGCTAGACTTTCCAGAGCTCTGTGTCTACTCAGAAGATTGAGATATTTTGTACCAAAGGACTGGCTGAAAACTGCTTAATATTGCTTTCTTTCAGAGTATTTTATTGTATGGCCTAAGGCTCTGGGGTGCCGCCTCTGGGGTCAAGAGAGTTCTGCGCTATCAAAAGAAAGCAGTTAGAGTAGTAGCTGGTGCTGATTACTTGGATCATTGTAAACCCATATTTGTAGCTAAGAGCTTAATGACGGTTTGTAACCTTTATATTTTTCAGTCTTTGATCAAAATCAAGAAGGAATGGGATTCTCTTGAGCTGAGAGGCGACATCCATCCCTACAATACACGTAGGAAAAATTATCTCAATTTACCACATGTTAGGTTAAGTAAAGTTCAGATGTCGAATGATATTCCTTAGTTATGCGTTTTTTAATAAACTTCCTTTTGTAGCTCGGAACCTGCCAGACCCAAAATTCAGAAAAGGGGTTGAGGGGCTCCTTTTGGCAAACCCTTTGTACAAAAATAAAGAATTTTTTGATCTGAAAGAAGAATATGTAAGTAGTTTTTTTTTAGTTTCTTAACCGAGTGTTGTGTGCTGTTTTTTTTCTCTGCATGATGAGTTTCAGGATTAATTCTTTTATATTGGTAAGAAACCTTGTACCATTGTCTTATTTTAATTTTCATTTTAGCTATAGTTGTACTGACGTTTTCCAGTAAAGTAACTGCATTTTATGGAAATAAAAATTCTTGATTCTTGACATTCTGTCAGGAGCCATGGAGCTTGATTTTCTTGAATTAACGTACGACCAAAAAGCCTTGATATTGTGAGGGATGTTCAGCTCAACATTTCTAAGGTAAACGAATGTAAGAGTAGCAGACGCTCGCAACAGCCTTGCATTACCGTCTGAGACCCTTAAAAAGTTCATAATCCACATTTCTCGAGTACGTTTATAACGTGCATGTTACCTTTTTTGGCAAAATGGTGAGCGCTCTGAGTTCAGTTGAAACGGAGGAAAATTTAGAACCACCAATTTTCTTAGGTGTAAAACATTATTTGACTGGTTAACCATTAATGAAACTCCACAAAGTCTTTTAGCGGGTTTCCGATATCATTGGGGTGGGTAAGTTAAAATGCTGTATGGTAAAGATTGCACCAAGGTCACGTCTCTTGTAGTCTAGAATAAATGCTCTATGACGAGAAGATGTTGTACCATGAACAACCAAGTCAACATTCAGGGCAGGATGATGAGCTTCTTCGGGTACCAGGATATCATCAGCATTAGTGATTTCAGGATGAAATGACGAAAAAATTAAGTCCAGTGTAACTCCTCTGCCATTCCTCACTATATTAAACTGGTCAAGGTTGTAATTTGTTGCCGCCACATCGGAAACCAACTTAAATGCTGCCCGTTGATTGGATAGACGAGGAGGTTGCCCAATCTATATTTGGTAGGTTGAAGTAATCCATGAGCACAATTTTATCAGCATTTGAACAAAAGCCAACAATTATTTAATCTACAAGGCAGTGATCAGAATAAGGTGAAGTTGGCTGATTTGCAGGTATGTAGACAGCACCCACAATATATAATGGACGTACAAGATACTTTGCACGTCAAAAAAACACATTCAACACTGGAGATAGCTAGAGGTTTGTATTTCATAACTTGATATGGTATTTCTCACAGCCACCAAAACTCCATCACCCTTCTTGATCGATTGCTCGGACCTATCATACCGAAAGATTGAAGAATTTGTGAATCCCAGCTCTGAGTCAGCAATATATGAATTCATGTTGGTCTCAACCAGTACAATTATGACATAGAAATTTTAGAAATGGATCTAAACAGTTGAGGTAATTTGCTTCTAATGCAGTTGACGTTTTGAAAATAACTTCTTAATTTGATTGGGATCCGTATGACTTTATTAGTTTTTTTGGTCCTGTACTATATAAGAGGGATGTCATTACGATGTTTAATTTTAAGCTCTTTTTCACCATTTGCCTCTCTTCTTTGAATGTCAGTTTTCAAGGATTTGAAGTATCACATAGTTCCCGGAGTGTCCTATATTTAGAGATCTTCACTGAAGAAAAACATTGGTCTAGCTCGTCTATCGGATTAGGCAAGATATTGTTTAATAACAACTGTACGTCAGCTGGACTCTTCAGAATATTTTATGCATTTTCATAGTGGCAAGAATTAGAATATTTAATTATTTGAACTAAGTTACCTCAAGCCTTTGTTCTTGCAATCAAGAACAGCCCTTTTTTGTTAAGCAAGAACAAAGGCTTAAGGTAACTTAGTTCAATAATTAAATCTTCAGAATAACTTTCAAGGGTCGATCTATCCCTTGCTTCCGCTTTCCTACCCTTGTTGTTTTTATTCCACCAACCTCAATAACCTTGTTGATGATTTGAATAAAGGTTTTAGTAATAAAAAGGTTAAATACCTGTAGTACTGTTAGTGATCCTAGATTTAGGTCAGCGACCCAGGTTTTGAACCTAAAGGTTCATTTTCAAGCTGTTACCATAGTTAAAACACATTCCAAACACACAAATCCTCTTCATAACTGGGAAGAGGTGTTAAACACACGAAAACACTAAACATTAAACAAAATTGGACAAGTATAATACTGTTACAGTAGCGTGCGTGGTGTAGCCGGCAAAAGATAAGTCATGAAGAGCAGTATTAGAGCAGTATGAGATGAGTAACTCATCTCATTATCCTTTGAAAAGATAGCCTTTATAAGTTCTACACTATAAAGACATAGTTCATCCTTTTTAAACTAGGAAATTTGTACGCATTGATTAATGCTTGTCTCAAGAATGTTATTAAATTATATTGTTCATTTTGGTTTTGAATCATTCAGTTGATGTTGCCAGCTTTGATGACAAAACAAAAGAAATATTTGTAAATGTGAAGAACTTCGGTGTACATAATCAATGGCTTGAATCAGTTTTAGTTAACAGAAGAAGGTTCTGTCTGAAGTTGTTATTCTTGCCGTTTCGTCGTAGTTTGTATTGTAGATTGTAGGTAGATTGTCTGTTTCTGTTTTCGTTTTCGTTCGTAGACACGACACCCAACTGTCACTGCACTGTCATAATATTTCGAGGTTAATTTTAGGATAACATTTTATTTGTGCCCATAAATAGATTCTTTTTAACTTTTATTGTGCGTGCTAGAAAGTTTAAATTCATATTTAAAATGTCCTTCGGAAGTGACTGGAATAAAATGTATCAAGAAAACAAACATCCAAAACCAAACTTCTCATCTGCTTTTGGGTTATTATCTCATCTCGATGTTGATGAATTAAGAGCTTATTTGAATGACGAAGACAAGTTTGAAAGTATGGTAAAGGATGTTAAAGAGGTAAACTTATTTGTTTTTAATATGTTTGTAATAGGTACCATTGGTTATTATTTATCAGGGTAATTTTAAGTGTTAAAGGTTTTATAGCTTCTAGCTTCTTTAACCATTAAGGTACTATGACATCCTGTGGCCTAACCACTGCCGGCCTATTTTCGAAGAACTTGGCATTTTTTCAGTGTACAGCCAGTATGTAATCATAATCATCACTCTAGTCCTTTGGATAGATAACTTAACATACTTCTCAACCAGAAACATGTGCAGCACAACTTGCAGGGCTCATAGAGCTTGTGACCTCTATATACCTCACTGCCGGCTTAGTCACGCTCTTAATTCGTATCCTTTGCTTGCCATCAAACTGTTCAATATTCTACTGACAAGTATCCGTGCCCTAGTCCCGAAGCAATTCAGCCTAAATTTTAACTTTGCCAGAGCCTACTCAGTAAGCCCTTTGTATTTTATTCCATAAAAGAACTGTTACAATCGAATGAGCCACTCGCCTTCGCAAAAATCCGAGTCACATCCATCAGTTAAGCTTAAATTGTATAGGCTATATGTTTTATGGTTATTTTTTATAATAGTGTATCACAACACAGTCTACCCAGTTTTAAATTAAAAAAAAATTGAGTAACTTCAACAATACATTGTGGTAATTAAGCATGGTAAAATCTTTCCTTGCTAACAACATAGCAAGGTTTGGGATAGCAAAAAGCTAACTGCATTGGTTTTTTTTATTTGTTACCGGTAGGCCTATATCCCTTTAATATTTTAAGAGTTTTGCCAGTGTTATATGCTATGTGTTAGCCAGTCTATGTAATTAATTATTTGCTAAAGGGACTACTGAAGTAATACTACAATGAGTGACTTTTTGTTGTATTAAAACCACCCATGATTAAGGGTAAATTGCCTCCTACCTATAAAATAATTTAATTATTCCTTTACCTTACCTTACCTCCTTGGTCATTTAGAAAACCAAAGAAGGTTTTTGGCCTTGCCCAACATATTGCCTTCACTGTTGCCTGTCTGCTGCTTGGTTATTGATGTCCCCATCTGCTGAAGGTCTTTCCTAGCTTGGCCACCGCACCGTAGCTTAGGTCTTCCTAGAGGTTGGGTCCCTCGTGGTTGTTCATTGGTACCGTTGCTAACTTCAGGAGACTGTTTACTTCTCTTCTCTCTTTGTCCTGTCTACCTCAATCTGCGGCTCTCAACAATAGCTAATATATCTTGGTCTTCATAGAGTTCTCAGTGCTCTCTGCTTTATCTGATACAACATATTTGATTTTCCCTCTTTTTGCAGGGAAACCCTTCAAACCTCTCATTCCCCGATCAAACTTTTTCTTGATCCTGTCAGGCCTACCCAAAAAATATTCCTGGAGCTACCCCTGGACACGTTCCTAAATTTACTTCATAATCTAATCATACACAATCTTTTATTCACAGCCTCGAAGCTCATCAGGGATTCTAAATGACTGTTCTTTATTGCCACACCCACTCCTGCTTCATTTCTTCCATCCTCTCTACCACTATAATAAATTGTACTGCTTTCAGTGTTTAATTTGCCACATAGAGGCCAAAAAACCTCTTGTAGGTCCAAAACGCCCATTTTGTACTTTTCCAACTCGTCATTTAAAATATCCACTGCTCCCGGTATTGCCAGGGTCCTTATGTTTCATGTGCCGAATCTCAAGTCCTTTAGGCATAGCTTGGGTCATTTTCCATCGCATCCAGTCCAGTCCGAGGCTAGTTCTTGATGCTTCGTAACTGGGTTTTTACAAGATATGGTAGTTGGCCCCATGCTCAACCCCCAATATGAATGCAAGTCTGCACCTACTTTTGATCAGCGGGTCCCTAAGACCTACTTGGGAAGACTGACAAGCAGATCATCCTATCCGCCACCGTGCGTATACGCTAAAGTAGGAAAGCGCACAGTAATTATTCATTTACTACAAGAAAATCTATTCTATTAGCCTATATCGTTTAAACTTGCTGTCAATAATTTTGGTCCTTAGACAAAAGGATGGCTCTTTATAGAAAGATGAAGTTTGAATAATTTACTTATTTAATTAAAATTCATTCTAGGTTGTGTGTCAGTTCTAATGTAAAACATGTAATCTGTTTCAGTTTAAGGAAATAGAAACTGAAAAAGAAATGGTATTGGCAAGCAATCGCTCCTTGGCTGAGTTTAACCTGTCAAAAGAGCCGCATCTGAAAAAGACAAAGCAAGAAATTCAACAGCTTAGTGAGGAGGGAGAGCAGCTGTTCAACAGAATAGAAGCTAAATCTAAAGAGCTTTGTAAGTTGATAAATCCTTTTCATGAGTGGAATTGTCTCTGTAAAACATTAGAAATACAATTTTCCAAATTAATGATTCAAACTTGTTTTTTATGGGAACGAAGAAAGGCATTTAATTTAATCCAGCTGTCCTTGATCTTTGGGCCTTTAATGGATGAAGGTTGATTCACACTCATCAGTCTTGAACTACATTTTACCCTCATGTTTCAGGGTCATATAGATCTAATATTACAAATTCCAGACTACACATTACCTGCAGCCTGATAGATCTGGTCCTTTGATAGTTGAAGTTTTTCTGAACATCATTATTGAAAATTTGCTTGAAATATAAATCTTTAACCCTCCGAGTGTTATTTGTCGATGCGTCGACACATAACACATTTTGTGTAGTGTTTTGTGTCGATGCATCGACTCACAAACACTGTTTACGGCGAAGGCTCTATGACTGACAAAATCAGATTGAACTGGATCGAGTTAGGTATCGTTTTATTTTGCAGATTCAGAGCTTTCTCCGGAGGTCTGTCTCTAAGCGCTTTTCATTTTAGTTCCGAAAATATTGTAGCAGATAGCTGACGTGCGTATTTGTAAACAGCTTGGTTAACCTCGCACCGATGACTGATGTGTTTGATTACGTTTATCATTGTTTTAGTGTTAAAAATCAAAAGTAGTGATATACGTGGTGCATTATAAGAAGATTTAAGTGATTTTGAAGGGCTGGTTGATGATCCTGAAGAAGTAGGTAGTGATATTGATGTAAATTATCAGCCAGATTCCTAGCTATGGTTAGGCTATGCATTCTTAGCTAAACGTTATGTACCGAAATCTGTTTTTTGCCCATAACTTATTTATTTGCAAATCTACTTCCTTATATTATCATATATTTGTAATCCTCATAAAATTTAGAACAAAGTGGCAAATATTTATAGGCCTATAATTTATACAATTTCATTGAGCGCGAACATATCTTTTTTTCAAAATTTTCCAAAATATTTTTTTTTACCTAAAGAATTTTTTTGAAACAAATGTTCCTTATGTTTTATGTATAATATTGAAGTCCATGATTTTCCAAACAAAATGGTATATAGAACAGTATAATTAACATTGTTTTCAAGCTTCTCAGATCCGTTTTAATAAAACCTTGCAAATGAGCAAAAAATAGGCAGACATTAAGGCCAAAAAAGGGACACTCGGAGGGTTAATGTGGCATTGTGTTATTTTCAGCTCAAAAAGGATCAAACCAAAGCCTAGAAACAACTTTGGCACTTTTACAAACTGCCGCTTCTGAAATGGAAGAGGAGTCTGAGGTAGGTGTTTTTTTTTTACATTTCATACCACCATACATTAATATTAGTATATTTATAACTTATTAGATACATATGTTTCTCTCATTACAAATAAGAACACTCCAAAATATAAATTGGTTGATTTTGTCATTAAAATTGTAAAATGAATGCAACAGGTTTTAAATTTGTTCATCAACATGACCCCTTGGCAAGGTGATAGATACAGTTCTAGTGACCAAAGGCAATGCCAGAACAGTGGTTGTGTGTCCATTGTGTAGTATAGAGAATTTTAATCAGGCTTTCTTAGAATAGACCTAAACAAAACACATTACATTACGCTCCCGATTAACACATCGCAAATTAATCGCTATTTTTGTGTTACTTTTAACAGAAACATAGGTACTTTATAACGTTATTATTTACCCAACAAAAAATTAAGCTGTTGAAACAACCTTGACTAACCCGATAGCTCAGATAACCATGGCACTGCAGTGCTCGGATAGTCGAGAGTTTACTGTACTCACAACTCAAACAACAAAAAAAGAATTTATAAATAGTAGAACCTATATAAGAAGACTCTCATGGTGATTATAAAATTAGTCTGGTTATCAAGGTTGACTTCTTATTGAGGTTTGCAATAATATGTGTTTAGAGGTAAAATAAATTCAAGGGGATTTGAAAAATACACTTGTTATCAAGAGCGACTTGTTATCGAGGGTCTTCTTATCGAGGTTCCACTGTAACAATTTAGATAGGGTTGGAAAGTTTTAGTGGATTAGGATGTACACCGGCTGTCGATCAATTATGATCTGCAACTAGTTCCCTTCACGGCCAAGTTACCAGTTCAAATCTGACACCAACACTGTAATCTTTACTTCATTGTCTAGACCTACTGTTCTAGCCTCCATTACAACAGTTAGTCTTCATTGGCCGAAATAATGTGTTAATGAAAATCAACACTCCCGCCCTGTATGAATCACATTTTGTTATTCGATTTCTGTGGTCTAAGGATTCAACCGCAATTGAAATTCATCTCCAGTTCACTAACGTGAACATATTATAGTGTTTGGAAGTATAAAATGAGCATTTGAGGTAGAGAGAGTCTGAAGTTGGTCGTAAGGATAGTTTGTATGACAGTTTGCATGATGTATGATGTATTAGGAAACGTCGTCGTAGCAACCTCAGTGTGTTATGTAGGTGAGCACAAAGGACTTGTCTGCTTCAACTTGTTTGATGGTGGTTCAAACAAAACTCCAGCAAAAAACATCTTAAATAATAGTTTTTTACTCTTTTTTTACAAAAAAAAAAAAAAAATTATTATTGGAAATGCAATAATTCCTCAAACAACAAAATAGTAATTTTATTCAATATATATACTTACGCTTACATGTTATCTAACTCTCAGTAATTTATTTTTACAGGCATTAGCCTCAAAGCTTCTGGACGGCACCCTATTTGTTGAAGGATTTCTAGAACAGTTTTCTACTCATCGCAAGTTGATGCATTTGAGAAGAGTGAAAGCAGATAAGATGACAGAAATGGTCGGCAAGAGATCATCTGTATCGTCGGCACTTCACAGTTCAGGATCCAACTTCTACTCCCCACCACCAGCATTGGCAGCTTACCCCATGGTGCCAATCATGCCTATGCCCTCTATGTATACTACACCTAACCATTTCGGTTGAAAAATAAGTAATATGTATAGCGAAAAAATTAAACTAACTTTTATTTTTACGGATTTTTTTCGAGCTATTTTAATTTTTCATGTTCAGAATGGTTAATTATTGTATTTTAGATATTGTGAATAATATATTTGATACATAATAATATTTTAACTAATTTATAAAACTATAGATACATTTTATTATATTACAATTTATTTATTCAGTTCAATTACATTTTCAAGTAAAGATCAGAATAATTATTGTCCTTTTCTATGGTTCCAAAAATAACTAGACTAGATATAACCACTAATCAAAATCTGGTTATAAGCACCTCGATGGTGGGTATAAATAAGGAAAACATATTGGAGTGTGTGCTTTAATGGTTGTTCTAATATTTAATTGTATATAAACTATCTATTATTGTCTATTATTATCTATCGATTATAATGTTGTCAAAAAATTAGCTTATTTAAAATAAAAACTCGTTCAAACACGCTATTAATTGTTATTTATAATATAAAGCAAAAAAATATCTGTCTTAACTATAGATGATGTTAATCTCAATGCCACAGTAAAGCTACATTATAGGTTTATAGTACCTCTTCATTGTCTGTCTATGAAAGAAACTGTTAAAATCAAATACTGTATTTATTTATTTGTAATATGTACGTACTATGAATGGTGTCAGATATTATTTCTAAGAAATACCCCCGCCGCAGCAAACATTCAGTTTAAGCAAATTTCAATTTGTCTATTGGATTCATACTAAAATATCTCCATAAAAAGACATATTTTATCTCTTATCCATATATAAAGCCCAAAGTACCCATGAACTTTTTAGAAAACTACTAGTCACACCCCCATAAACCATATACTTAAAATGTTTGGCATGATAAGTAACTATCCATTATTTCATAAATTACCCTTTAAGGTCGTAATTGCTTTCCAAAGGGAACTTTCGATATACCTAATGTTAAAAATACCTCAGCTGTACTTATTTGTATGTTATTCTTTCAATTTATTACCTTATTAAAATCAGGTGTGATTATTAGCTTCTATTGTATTCTGCTTTGTTTATTTCAGCTTAACCTATTTAATTCTTTTTGTCTATGACTTTACCAATCAATAGTTTTATTAATACAGTACTTATGAAGTCAAACGGGGTGAAGCCCGTGGGTAACAGCTAGTTTAAATAACACCAGATTTTACGGGTACCAGTTTGCTGGTATGGGGAAGGTAAAAAGAGTTTTTTTACCAAATTTTAATAGTATAAGGTGTAATAAACAAATTTTCCATATTTGATTACCTAAACAAGCAAACTATAACAGTTTACTTACTCTCCATAAAAATAAAACAGGAATTTTAAATTTACAGTTTTTTAATTTTCTCCATTACTAATAACCGTACAAAAACACTTTAATATACTAAATTATTTGTTTTTTAAGCTCTTCATCATTTTTTAGAAGTAGGGAAATGTTTTGTTTTGAGGGTCGAAAATGGGAAAAACCCATGGTCCAATTATGCGGCTTTGCGAACTCATTCAAGTTTGAAGTCAAGTCATGAAAATCGGCTAAAAATTACTTGAGTTATCGTATTCACGGACACACACACACAAACACACATATATATATAAACATATATATACCTCTGGGGACATAAAAATGGAAAAGTAAATCGGTCCCAAACCTAGATCTTACTGTGCCACCTACCGTAATAGCTACTTTTCTATGGGGTAAATTGGCTGATAAAAATAAGTAGATAAATTAGCCTTCTAACAATATTACATCTAAATAAAGCTAACAACGTAATTTACTTTATTAATTTCAAAATTCAATAATTGAGTAACAGATTTTCTTAATAATAATGTTTTTACATTTTTCTTGAATTTGTTAATCTATCGATAAGAGACTAATAATTTTTAACATGAAAAATAATGACACAAACATTGATTAAATGAAGTTCAGTATTTGACATGAAGTAGGCAAACTGATTAAGAAAATGTATTGCTTCACAAACACACTCCATTATTGATTACATTTAATTTCATAGTACTATTCTCAAATCATTGAGAAATTTGAAATGTGTTGGATCATTATTTGTAAATTTCATGTAGGAAGATCATTAGTGTGCTGTAAATGATCTTGTACAGGTGTTATGAACTGTAGAGTAGGGTATTTGTAAATTTTCATAATGAGGTCTATACAATTGAATCTATTATGTTACAAAATCATAAGTTTAAATACAATTTTTAAAAGATTCCTTACTTAGAGTACAATCGTGGTCTTCTGGTGACAACAAAGTCAAAGACGATGAAACACTAACACTCACCGACATTTTGGCCTCGATACAGAGTGCCATCTTCAAGGCGACTTGACTCCACAAAGATGAAAATCAAGTGTTGTTGAGACTTCATTTTTCATCTGTGGGGAGTCAAGTCGCCCTGGGCACTCTGTGTCGAGGCCGAAACGTCGGTGAGCGTTAGTGTTTCACGGTTTTTGACATGGTTTTTGACATATTACTGTTAAAAAGTTTACAATTATTAAGCTCTGATTCAGCTTGAGAGATAAAATCAATGTTCTAACAAAGATCATAAAAAAGATTAAATAAAAAAAAATTATCTTTGATTCTTAGTTTCTCTTTAGTATGATTTGAATGTCATAGATTTTTTATTGAACTTGTATTGTAGTTCATTACGTTAAGATGACATGTAATTTGCCATGTTTTGTATTGTTTCATTAAATAGAGCATACTGTTATCAAGCTTAGTTTCTTATTGACCTGTCCTGTATTTTTCCATTGTAGTTTTCTTGGATTATCAAGCCTCATTATTAATACCTAGGCTGTTAATGTTGAAGCAGGCAAAAGAATAAAAGTTTTGTCTTCCCTTTGTATAGTTTAAATTATAGGTGATTCTCTCCATAGTAGTAATTGCTAAGTGGTTATAGTGTTCGTTCGGCAATCAAAAGCTTGCCCTTTCCATCCTGAGAAAAAGTTTTTTCATCGTTGGAAACTGAGTCAGCTGTCCTTGATCAATGGGCTTTATAATAAATGGTCATGGCTTTACAAACAGCTGGTCTTAGTCAGTAATAAAGCATCTCACTCCATTCCTCACTTGTATTTGGGTTAAGATACGTCTAGTGGCTACCCCATCTCAATTGATGATAACAATACAATTACATTGTTTTAGATCTAAAAATATATACAGCGCTATATCTCTGCGTGATGAATAAGGCCCTTCTTAAGCCTACCTATCTTCTTGAGAGGCTTTCTTTTGCAGTGCAATACTGTATTGAAAACTCTTTGTACAGTGAAAAAAAAATAAAGATACGATAGATCCTTAAAAAAAACATACAAAAATGGTAAGAAGTGAAAAAATCTTGCCTCACAGCGAGTCGAGTCACTGCTCGTATAAAGGATCTATACTTTACTGAGATAATGTGAGTGAAAGAAACATATCGTGATTTTATTAGCATAAAGATACGATAGATCCTTGAAACAAACATACAAAAATGGTAAGAAGTGAAAAAATCTTTCCTCACAGCGAGTCGAGTCACTGCTCGTAAAGGATCTATATTTTACTGAGATAATGTGAGTGAAAGAAACATATCGTCATATTATTAGCATCGCACAAGCATGTGTTGTACATTCTCAGCAGTAAGAGGGGGCTCATATTATTAGCATCGCAGGCTGTGCTACGCACAGCCTGCTAGGGGACATTCCACTCTTTAGCATTAAAGAACTGGAATCATCTGTCCTCTCCCTGAAAAATAGAAAGGCACCTGGTCCTGATGGTATTCCCAGTGAGGCTCTCAAGAAGGTATTCTCAGTTAACCCCCTCTTACTGCTGAGAATCTACAACACATGCCTGTGCGAAGGGATTTTCCCAACTCCTTGGAAAAGGGCTAGGCTTGTGTTAATCAGCAAGGGGAAAGGTGACCCCAATATGCCGTCGTCTTACAGACCCCTCTGTATGTTGGATGCGGCCGGAAAACTTTTCGAGAAACTAATCCGCTGCCGACTGACGTCTGCCGTGGAAGCTGCCGGAGATTTGTCTCCTCGTCAGTACGGCTTCAGAAAGGGTCGGTCAACAATCGACGCGATATCCGAGGTACACAGAGCGGTAGAGCGTGCCGAGAGCTTCAATCATTACTCTCGCCATATCGTGCTTCTTGTTACGCTAGATGTCAAGAATGCTTTTAACTCGGCGAGATGGGTCGATATGTTGAGCGCGTTGAGGAACAGCTTCCGCGTACCAGCATATCTGTTGAGGCTGATCGAGGACTACCTGCGCTGCAGAACTCTTAATTTCGAAATTAAAGATAGTTCGCGGACGATGGATGTTACTTCCGGTGCCGCGCAAGGTTCGATACTCGGCCCAGATTTGTGGAACGCTGCCTACGACAGCCTTCTGAGATCTGAGATGCCAGAGGAGACCGTTTTAGTTGGGTACGCCGATGACGTTGCAGCCCTCATTGCTGCACGCAACGTTGAGCTAGCCCAACTGAAACTGAACCAAGTCATGCGCGTTGTAAATGCCTGGATGACTGATCATGGTCTGACACTCGCTCTGAGCAAGACAGAGATCGTCATCCTCACGAAAAAACGGATTGAAACCATCGTTCCGCTACGAGTTGGGAACGTAGTTGTTCAAACCACGCGAATCGCCAAGTACCTCGGTGTCATGGTGGACAACAAGTTGAGCTGGAGGGACCAGATCTTCCGTACGGCGGACAAGGCTGCTAGTAGGCTTATGGCCAATGTCGGTGGTCCCCGGTCCAGCCGTAGAAGACTATTGATGTCTGCAGTCCAGTCCGTGCTTCTCTACAGCTCTGAGGTGTGGGCAGACGCGCTTAACAAGGAGGCGTACAGGTCGAGGCTCGCACGAGTGCAGCGTCAGGCGGCACTCAGGGTCGCTTCTGCGTACCGTACGGTGTCCGAACCGGCCGTTTTGGTGATTACTGGAGTTATCCCTGTCAAACTCTTGGCAGCGGAGAGGAAGGCAATCTACCAGAGACAAGGCTACATCGGAAAGGACGCTGCAAGAACGGAAGAGCGCTCCCGCACTTTTCAGATGTGGCAAGAAAGCTGGGAAAGGGAGACTCGAGGAAGTTGGACTGCCAGACTCATCAGACAGGTCCAACCGTAGGTGGAACGGCGGCACGGTGAGGTTGACTATTACCTCACGCAGTTCTTGTCAGGTCACGGCTATTTTCAGTCGTACCTGCACTTGATGGCCAAAACAAATTCACCTGACTGCATTTACTGCCCATGCATTCCCGACGACGCGGAACACACTTTTTCCACTGTCCACGATGGGATATGCTTCGCCAGGAGGCCATTCAACATCTTGGGGTGCTGTCGATTGAATCAATTTGTGAGATCTTGCTGAAGGGTGAGGACAACTGGGACTGCTGGTCGCACTTTGTCCGGAATGTCCTTCAAGCTAAAAAGAACGATCTAGATCGGATCACAGTCTAGATTTTATAAGAAATAAATGGCTAGACACGGCGTAAGCCCCTCGGGCGTAGGCAAACTCGGCCTAGTTCTGATGAAGTGCGACAAGTGTTCCCAGGCTAGTGTCCGAAGAGTAGAGGAGGTTTTTAGTGGGTAGTCTCTGGGCCTTAAGCCCGTTGGAGTCCCACACTACAGGCTAGCCACCTGTGTGCATAAATGCATTTTCCCACCTCTCCCTAAAAAAAAAAGAAAAAAAGAAAAATGCACAGCCTGCTAGGGGTGTCTCTGCACTCGCTAAAGGCAGCGGATCTAGCGCTGGCTGTGTCGTGACTAGACAGCCCTAGGGTAGGGTAGCGGCTGCTCTAGTACTGACCTTGGGCGGAGGTGACAATCAACCATCCGGCCAAGGCCCAGATAGTTAACGCAACCGCAAACTGTTACAGGTATGTGTGCAGCTGTGACAGGACTCAGCTGGAGACGAGGGATCCAACCCCGAAAGGGTCCAGTCTTGGGCATTAGCAGGCATAGTGAGTGGGTCACGGTTCGGCTGCTAAACTGATAACATTTTGTTTTTCTTGTAAATAGTCATGGCTGAACGTAAACAAACAGAATCATTACCCCAGGTGGGTACCTGCTCAAGCGGAGAATCCCACTCCTCCTTTTTGGGGGACAAGCCCATGGATTCTGGGGAGGGCAACAATCAGCTTTTATCTTATCTTATCTTACAGGGGCAGGTCGAGACTTGATTGATTGATTCTGTAGGGGCGGACCTTGTCCTGTTGCAGGTCAGCCACTGATGGGTTTTTTGCGCACCCCATTTTTTTTTTTTTTTTTTAAGAGACTTTTAAGCACTCATCCGTAATTGAATTATTGCGCACCCCAGACAATTGTTTTCTTGTTGACCTTATAAGTTAAGGCGTCCAATGAATGCCTGTAGCTTCCCAATAAGTTCATCCTCGGGAAGATATCTTCCTCTAGCCAGATTCCCAAGAGTTATCATTCTAGCATCAGAGATCTCGTTACAATCAAAGAGTAGGTGATCGGCTGTCTCTTCTGACCTATCACAGTGCCTACAGATCGGTTCACCATCATATAAGCCCATCCGTTGTAAATGTTTCCTGAATCGCCCATGACCAGTTATCAGTTCAACAATTAGTTTGATTCTTCGTCTAGTCTTATATCAAGAGGTCAGAGGCAACCTTTTTGGAAGGTCTAAACAGAGTAAGCTTGCTGACCCTAAGAAGGGGAGTGTCGACCCAGCGCTTGCGATGCTTTTCTTTGGCCCATGACACAATCGAAGAACATTCGCTGTTTCGTGAGATGCCACAGAAGGGTTGTGGGCCTATCATTAGTTGTTGCAGAGGCAGTGTTTGCCAATCTATCTGCAGCTTCATTACCTTTTATGCCCGAGTGTCCTGGCACCCAGCAGAGCGTAAGATCATTTCTCCTACCCAACTCCGACACAAGGCAGTCCCACACGAGCTTAGAGTTGAATTTGTCAATCAGCTTACTTTTAACAATGATGTTATTGTGCAGAACACCACAATGGAGACGGAACCTGGGGAGATCGTGGATACGCCAGAGATCTTCTCGAAAAGTTCTTTGACAGCAAGAACTCCACCCAAATCACCAACTGATGTCCTTGAGCTTTGTCATAGGTTAGACGTAGACCGAAACAAGCAGCTAGACATCAGCATTGTCGGTGATTCTCCGTCTCTGGCGTCGCATCGTCCGACTCTGAGACTGTTTCTACAGTTATGACCAGAACTGAATATAGATTGTCTGTTGGAGAAAGAAAAACGGCTGAAGGCACGTGGATCCCAAACAGACAATGGAGAAAGAGGAAGCGAGAGTCAATGGGTTCCCCTGGGGAAGGTTCTGGCGTACCACCATAATGCGTAGAATCGGACCCGACGGGAACCTTGGGTCTTTTCAAAGAAAAATAAAAAATCTAACCGATCAGCAGATGCATCCGTTGTAGGAGTGGTCAGCTACAGAGACCGACTTGTAGGTCACAAGTTGGCAGTTGCTCCAGAGGCCTATCCTGACGAGAGATTCTCTGCTGAGGAATGTGACTTGTTACAGGACAAACTGATGGAGCTGGTGTTTGGTGATGACGGCGCCAATCTTCCGCATCAGTTTGAAAAAAATGAACACAAGAAGGGTGCTCTTGTCGTAACTTGTGGTAATTCTGAAACTTCTGACTGGCTAAAGAGGGTGGCACAGAAGCTAGCGCTGGAAGGTGAGAGGAGTATGGAGGTCATTGTAGCAGACTATAGGGATCTG